TTTTTTTTTATGAAAATGAAAGACGATTTTCTTATAGTGAATAAATATTTTATTGAATTATATATTGTCCATTCTGGTCCAATACCTTTTGCCATCTTTCTGGCAGTAGCATGATTTCACGCTCATAAAATTTTTGTTCTTTGCTGGCAAAAAACTGATCCAGGTGATTTCTGACTTCCTCATTTGAAGTAAAGGTTTTACCGTCTAAAAAATTTGGTGGAGATTGGAACAAATAATAATCAGAAGGTGCCAGATCTGGAGAATATGGTGGATGTGGCAGTATATTCCATCCAAGTTGTAAAAGCTTTTGGCGAGTTACCAAACTTGTATGAGGCCTCGCATTATCTTGGTGGAACACTACACCTTTTCTATTGATCAATTCTGGCCTTTTCTGTTTAAGTGAATCATTCAATTTGTCCAGCTGATGACAGTACACTTCAGAATTGATCGTTGTGTTTTCCGGTAGAAGCTCAAAAAAAAAACGATTCCTTTGAAATCCCACCAAACAGATAACATCACCTTTTTTTGATGAATATCGGCTTTCGAAGTGCTTTGAGCCGGTTCATCTTTTTTACTCCATGATCTCTTGCGTTTAACATTGTTGTAGACAACCCCTTTCTCGTCCCCAGTGATGATGCGCTTCAAAAATGGATCATTTTCTTGACGTTTGAGAAGCAAATCACAGACGTCAATGTGTTGAACTTTGAGATTAAACCTAGGCGTTTCAAATGATCATGAATAGTCGAATTCGATAAATTTAATCTTTCAACGATCTCACGAGTTGTTATTAGCCGGTTTGCATCAATTAATGCCTTTATTGTGTCTTCATCAACTCCAACTGGCCTTCCAGAACGTCGTGCATCTTCAACATCAAAATTGCCGGATCGAAATTTTGCAAACCAGTTTTGGCACTGGCGTTCTGTCAATACATCTTCTCCATACACATCGGATAATTTTTTTCTTGCTTGAGAGAGGCTATTTTTGCCTTTTCGATAGTAAAAATGTAAAATATGCCGAAAATGCTGCTTTTCACTTTCCATATTTGATAGGGCACCAACCAAAAACTACTGCGTAGAATCAATCAAACTTTTTTCACAAGCAAGCCTTGCTATATCAGCTGTCAAAATATATAATGATTATGCGGATTAAGTGTGAAGTTGGCTGCGAAAAAATACAATTCCTCTGATGGGAAAAAACGAAATTACTTTCCGAACAATCCAATATATATGTAAGTATATATAATTGCAGATATAATTTGAACTTAGCTACTCTTAAAATTTTTGTAAAAATTAATTGGATATTAGTCCATTTATCATTTTGTATACTTCAAATTCGCGTTCTACATTATTAGAAATAACTTCTATTATAATTATCATCTAAATTTTATTAATCGGTAACTTACATACTCCATAACTCCAACAATTGATTACATCCAATTCTCTTATGTAAAAATAAATATTGTATATTTTACCTTTTTCAAAGCTATTTTTTTATTAAATCTTCTTATAATGTAACCTGTAACCATTCCAATAATGTATGGACCAATTCGAATCCATGGTGGGATATATAAGACATCTACAAGTCTGTGCTGTTCGTCTATACTGTAATAATATAAAAGTGTTTATTTACTTAACTAGTTTCATAATTAATAAGATACTTTATAACTTACGTCGGAACATATTCATAAATGTATGAGGTATAACCGCTTGATATAACCGAGACTATCAAAATTGTACCCAGTATGACAACAACCGCGTAAAAATATCTGAAATTTATAGTTTTTATTTATTCAGATACATGCGTTAAAAATATGTAACATTCTACAGTCAACGATCGTTTAACTTACACAGTTGACAGAATTAAAAGCGCCAGACCGATTATATAGAATTGCATATCGTTGGATAGATACCAACTCCAGGTCAAGCACTACAAGAAAATTTCTCTTTTGAATATAACTCAGAATAAGAATATTCTCATATACTTCTGAGTGTGATGCCAAAATTATATTATAACTAAAGCTGTATTCCAAAATTTTCTGGCAGTACTGAAAATCGATAGTTTACATTACGTGCACTATAAATTTTCAGTACTGGCAGAAAATTTTGGAACATAGTCTAAATTGGCGTTTGTACCATCGTATTAACACCAAACAGATTATGTATGTACAAGACATTTCTCCACCAGTATTTTGCGCAAATTTCGTGCTGTCTCTCCTCAATGTAAAATTGCGAAGTCTTATCGTACCAAGATGAGATCAATTGCGCTATTCCTATCATCATTACATAAGCCGGTGTCAACCTTAAAAGAAATATCTAGATTTAAAAACTATAAAGAAAATAATTATTATTATTTGGTTCATTGTTAAATTGCATTTGTAACTCGTATTTTCTGTTATTTTATTCACATGTATAATTGATGCTGTCATGCTTACAGCGTCGTCTTTATTTTTGTGTTCGCATAAATTTAAGATAACGTTATAAACGTACCGGATATATCTCTTCATTATGCTGACAAAGAATTTGTTTATCTTCTCTTTGTAATTAATCGGATTAGTTCGTTCCTTGTCTATTTTATTCTTTAGATACGTGTAAGTCAATAAAAGTCCGCTTAAAAAGAAATAAGTGTCAACCGATACGGTTGAGTTGCTGAATACTTGAATGAAGACACCTTCGGCCAATCTCAACGTCCATATTTTATTGTCTACATAAGTATACCAAAATTCGTTATGTATGAAAAATGACACATCAGGAGACGTAAGTAATCTTAGTTCTGCAATTTTTGTGTCAGTACACTTACCAAAATATTCTATCGTGAAAAGTATGCTATGCAATATAATTAGCCAAACCATGGACAGAAATCTTATGCCGTGAACGACAGCTATTGCTTCGGTGTCCAGTTTTGTGTTAAATAGCATCTTCGTATTTGTGTAAATGGAGAAACACATTAGTATATCCGCGAATCTATTTTTCTTACATGATGACGACAAATCTGTCATTTGCATCTCCTCGACCGCATTTTCTACATTGAAATCACAATTTAGAATGTGTATTCATTAACAATTGCGAACAATGTTTGCTGGTAAATACAAGGAAACTATTAACAAGCAAGTAATTGAAAAAAAAAGATATTGTACTGTAGAAATAAATAATTAAAATAAAATTGCACGAGAGAATAAATATCTTCTTTGCATTTTGGAATTTTATGAAAATAATGATTCCAATTTAATAAAACTGTTTTAGTGTGTAAAAGATAAGCGTGATTTTTTTTTTAAAGTACGAGGAATATAATAAAAGCAGTATTATGAATAATCCATTACCGAAAAAGCTCAAAAAATCTTACAATTAGTTAGACATATACTTACTAACGACAGTTTTAGTGTTTGCCTTTAAATATGTTTGATAAATGAATATATCGTATATCGTACCGCTTATCATCATGGCAAAGGTAAGCACTAGAGCAATACTGAAATGATAAAATTGATATATGCAAATATCTCTCCTATCGCTTTCTCGAACTCTCGGAAGAGACATAAAAATTTAACGTATATTATTATTTTGTTTGTAAAGTTAATTTTTTTTTGTCTTAATGTCGACTTAATGTCGTGTGTGTTTTCGACATACCATATGAAAGGTATCGCACCATTTAACAGCCATTGGTGATCATCCTTTAAGTCTTTTACCTGGATCAGGTTGAGATCCACGGAATACAGATCATTGACTAAAAGAATTCTGTCTCGAAATATACCTTCTAGAATGAAACTTATATTATTCGTGGAACAAGATGCGGGCAAACAGAGGCCGAGCGTAATCAGATCCTAAAATATATATAAAATTTTTTATATACAATGTATATAAAAAATAATAAAATGTACATAAATAAAAGTACCGGAACTCTTAAATATCTCGAAATATATATAAGTTTTATAAAAAAATATTTCAAAGTTATAAAATTTAAAAAGATTTATTTATACTAAAAATGAAAATAAAAGTAACAACTTTCAAAAGCTGCTGAAAAACTTTCAACATCTTGACAAATGTTATCAAGGTTATGAACAACATTAAAAATTTTATGTCAGATATCTTAGATAATATGTACTAATGCCGATGGTACGGTAACTTTTAAGTCATAGAACTCAAAAAATACTCAATGAAAAATATTCTGTTATAGCGTTTTGAAAAGCTTTCGAGATGAGCTAATAATACGCAATGAAATAATATAGCTGAAGGCTAATTTGTATTTCAAATTAAAAAGTTGAAAATATTTTTACTTTGTAATTCAAATACTAATTAAGATTGACAGTATTTTTTGTATTTTAAATATTTTAATATTGTATTTGTCTAGCCCTGCTCGCACATATTCATTTTTCTTACATTTGTACTATGTTGCCGATAAAATTAAAGAGGACGTTGCATCAATATCACCGATAGATTTTCAAACGTTTCCGTAATATTTCAGAAACGTTTCTTGCTGACGGAAGCAAACATTTTTACATTGCCGCAACCTTGCAGAGACTTCTCAGAAACATTATGCAACGTAACTACTATAATTTCAATGTTTTAATGTTATATTCATGTATATATAAACACAAATTTTTCTGTGCTGTCAGAAGTTCCGGTACTTTATATTTGCTTATTAGTATTTTTACATGTTTTTCATAATTTCACATTGAAAAATTTGGATACTCATCCATTAGAGAGATCACGTAAATGCCATATGAGCTGTAAGTCTATTTTAGTGTAACTTTCTCTTTTTATGACATTACACATGTCACATGACCTAAAGACTAAATTTAATATATTTAAACCCGTTTGCAATAAATGTTAGCGATAAAATTTCTCTAATTTTTTTGCATTGATTTGAAAGTGCACTAAGAAAAAATGTACTAATTTTAGTAAATATCGATATAAGGATCCATAATCACAGAGATGTGTCATTATTAAAGATAGCTCCAAAGAGATCCGAAACGTGTAATAATGAATGATGGAACACATAATGGAAATTAATCTTTGGATTTGAATTTAATCTCAGACATCTTCATCGGCCATGACTCTCATTAGTTTTGAATTTATTGTTTATTTTCATTTTTAAGATTGTAAGTCAGTTAACAATGCAATGTTTAGTATATTTTTATATTTTGTATTTTTGAGGTACCTTTAAAAGTTTAAATCTTAGTATACTTATTTAAATATTTATTTATCATAAATAAATATTAAGTTAATGCTATTTAAATAAATAATTAGTAAAATTTAATATAATTTTTCCCATGTAAATAAGATTTATTTAGATTGTAATATAAAAAGATGCATGAAATGTTCGATTTAGAATTGCCCAACATATATTGTTAAAAAATTGGACTTAAAATAAAAATTTAAAATCTAAAATAAAAAACTATTGATTAAAAAGATGATATACTCTAGATAATTTCAAGAAGAAAGAACTTACTTCAGTAAACATATTGATGTGATACTGAAGAGTACTGTTGTGTCTAATGTAGGCAACAAAGTAATTCAGTTGGAAAGGTGGAAACTCATTCTGCGGATCGCGGTATCGCGTGTTATTTAATATGTGCCGTTTTGCGATCTCGAAGGGACTCCTGTTCATTATATCGAGGCATTGACTACGACTGCCCAGCCAAAAATTATTTCCATAAAGGAAACCTGATTTGAGTTCGCCACTGGAATCCAATGCTTAAAGACAAAAATACACAATTGTTATTATATTTATGTAACAACATTTTAGTATATAGTGTTTCTTATTCATTGCTACTTAATCAGTGAGACTTTTATTAATTGCTAAAAGCAGGATTACTATTAATTACAAAAAACAAGTCTTTTAGTGTATTCGATCTGAGCGGGTGTGCACCAACTTTTTGGTTGGATTAATGACATTGTATGCTCTCCTAATATGTAACGTCAACCAAGGAGAATATTGCCCAACCCAAATCGTTGTAAACTCGCTTGAATTGAAAACGTTGTTAGATATCTTGCATTATTTAGGTGTTTTTTAATTTTACTAATTTTAATTCGTCGTCTCGATTTGATTCAATAATTATTACAAAATATAATTATATAATTTCAACATCATTTTGTGCATTTTTATTATTATGCATTTTACAAACATTTGGAGAGATATAATAAAAAATAATAGTTAAATGTTGTAATAACAAGTATGAAATATTTTTGTGACAAAAGTAATATTACGAAGGATAATTTTTAATCACTCTGTTTCGTGACTTATTACTAACTTTCACTCAGATTGCTTCTTAATATTAATGATAGTGTTAAAAAATATTTAAAACTCGATGTACATATAGAAATATATCTAATTGATTAATTGTATACATAACAGAATGTGTACTCTTAGCTATAACGTTCTCCAAACTACAGATATACCGTAACGAACAAAAAGTTGCCTCAAAGACAGATGGTACAGAAGGTAAAAGGTAGAACATTCCATTTGCCATTACTTTTACAAAAAACGTTGAATAAAATATGTTCGAATACTGATCTAATAAATAAAAAAAGTGAAATATATATTTTAATCGAGATATTCTGACAAAATTTAAAACTATTTGGGAAAAATTGGTAGATGTAAAAAAAAATATTTGATGCTTTAACATGTAACAATTCTCTTTACAAACATATTATACTGAGATACTCACGATAAATTATGTTCGGAGGAAAATATAGAATTTTTTAAAATAAAAGACGAAAGTGAATCTGTTTCGAATCACAATGCTACATTACTGAATTCGAAAATTGAAACACAAGAAACAAAAAATAATGTAGAAACTACTATATTAAGTAATAAAGGTGAAGCAATGTTAATTCAGATAATTGATGATAAGAATAGTTATTACGAGCAGTATACTATTTATCCTTTATATAAAAAAAAAATCACGTAAAAGTATTACCGCCTTATTTCAAATGTTAAAAATTCAAGAATTATCCTTGGACAATCCTGATAAATTTTTAAATTTATTGTGTTTTCCAGATTTATACCCTTTTGGTATTAATGCACAACATGAATCTAGACGGATTAAATTTCATCATCATGAATTTATTAAAGTTCGTTTGACATATAAACATCCCTAATTCAGACTAAAAATCAACAGTACTTATTTTATTTTAAATAATGCGAATAATCGTCAAATAGCTTGTGATATTTACCATAAATTGAATGTAACTAATTTGTTATACGCCTTCAGAATATTTGCAAGCAATGTATGAAGATTTATTAGAATCTAATTTGAGTACGATATTTTAAGAAATACGAAACAATACTGGTGTAGACCAAAAAATGACTTAAATCGTACAACATTACGGACCTGCGACATGGTTTTTAATATTAAGTCCGAGTAAATGGAATAATTTAGGTCAATACATTCGTGAAATAAATGGATGGTATAATGATGATGGTATAATCATCTTGTACTAGTGTTCTCATTGTAATTGGTACGTGTAACTGGTGCGGTGTGAGACTGCACCCCGAGTGTATGTATGCCAAGAGAAAACACTATAAGTGTCTATAAGTCGAGCAATGCTTGATTTTATTTGTTCTGAAGATCATCCAATTGGAGAAGTTACATTACTTTTGACGACGAGAATATTAAGGTAGAGGTATATAGCATTTTCATTTTAATTTGGATTAAAAATGCGCCAATTATTGGTGAATCTTCTGTTGAAGAAATTTCTAAGTTTATTTTACAATATATAAGTTGCAAAATACCGAATAAAAATATTTCTCCATTATTATATAAGCGAGTTAATACGTATCAACAACATAACGATTATTGTCTTCGTTCTAAGAAAAGAGGACGAAAAATTGATCGTGTATGTCGTTTTGGTTTTCCACGTCCTGTTGATTGTTAGAGATGTTGTAGAAGTTTGATAGTAGGAAGGAAACAATTAAAATATAGAAATAGACTTTATGACCTTTTCCGAACAGATATTGAAGTCAGTATAAACGATTATAGTCCTATTCTTCTTACTGCATGGGAAAGAAATATGGATATATAGTTTCTTGTGTGTGTGTGTGTGTGTGTGTGTGTGTGTGTGTGTGTGTGTGTGTGTGTGTGTGTGTGTGTGTGTGTGTGTGTGTGCTGAAAAATCTACGATTCTTACTGAATATGTTACTAAATATATTAATAAAGAAGGAAAAAGTGAATTATCCGATTCTAATCTTGAGAGTAAAAATTAGAAAAACAGAAAAGGCAAGCTATCTTTGGAATATTGGTTTACGATTCATGACTTATAGGGAATGTGGAGCTCTTGAAGCTGTTAATGCATTGCTAGGTATTCCTTTATATGGGATTGATCGAAATACGAGTATTAAATGGTTAGATGTTAATCAAATACGATACAGAAAAGTTAAAAGTTGTAAAGAAATTGAAGCTCTTGACGTAGATTCTACAGATATATTTTGTCTGTCTATAATAGATAATTATTATCCATACAGACCGAAAGAATTTGAATCGACGTCTTTATACGAATTTGTAAAATGGTATGATATTACGACAATTAAATCACGAAGTAAAAATATGACGTATTATAAGATGAACAATGGTTATTATTTTAAACGACGACAGCGTGGATATCTTATTAATTATTATATAAATATAATGTTAATAACCGGAAAAGTATTTTTTTTTTATTACTTCTTATGTTTAAACCATGGCGAAAAATAGAACAGCTTAAAAATGGATGTAATATATATGCAGAATCGTTTCACAAGATAGAATTATATCTTGTTTAAGCATTGCAGTATCATGAAAGAATGGAGGAATTGCAAAAAGCATTAGAAATAGCATGAGTCACAAGATGATCCTGATAATCCGATAGGTGTTCAAAATATTCAAGCTGGTAAAGCAATGCAAGATTTTAAAGATCTTGGTAATAAATGTAATCAAGAAATTGATACATCTGAAATGATGATAAAATTAAATGTAGATCAAAAAAGAGTATTTGATAAAGTTACTAGTACCGTTATATCAGATAAAAAAATTATTACAATTGTACGTTAGTGGAGAAGAAAGTACCGGAAAAATTTTCTTGATTAAAACTATTAAATGTTACATGAAACAAAATCTCAGCAAGAACACTGCTATAGCGGCATCTACTGGTAACAGTGTTTAACATTGATGATTTGACAGTACATAAATTGCTTCAATTATCAGTTGAACATGGTAATATTCCTAAGTATAAGCCATTAGCTGATCACGTTTTAAAATTTTTACGAGCAGATCTCAAAGATGTTATTCTTTTTATAATTGATGAAGTATCAATGATATCTAATTTAACTTTAATAAATTTTTTTAATAAAAGCAATCTACGAGTGCCATCTACCATCGAAAATATGAAAAGAAGATGACTTTTCAAAGCGATGACGTATCTTACATAATTTTAACATTTCGGATTTCACATTACGATATCTCTGTTTGTAGGACACGTAGAGGTAAAATAAGCGGTTGTTATGTTGGAATTCAAGCTGTCGATTGAGCTCGTATTCAGAACTCGATCGGTCCAACCTTTATTACAAAACCGATAATTTCGGATGCTCGCAATTCGCTGACTCGTTTATTGAAATAATAAGGTGATTATCAAACTTATATTATATTTTGAAGTTTAGCAGTACCAAGTTTTTTAAAAAATGTTGTTATTTTAATAAAATTTTCTCATTTTGTGATGCTTTGTCTTTAATTTTTTGAGATTAAATGTTATACGAGATGTATATAAAAAATTCGTGCACTGAATTTTATTCTGCCAACGTGATGACGCTGTAAGCTTGTACAGTAGTGCAACGTCTCGGAGGAAGTGTCCTTAATAGAAATTAGGTCATGGTCAAGATTTCTGTTTTTTGTGTCTGTTTTTATTAACGTAATTTAAACTTTTGATCGTATTGGCGGAAACGAAATATTTTAGCTGAGCAAAGAACCAACATCAAATTTCTCATAAACCTTGGCAAAAACGAATCCTGGATTTACAAGTATGATTCTGAAACAAAAAGGCAGAGTAAAGAGTGGAAGCACCGTGGTTTGTTTCACACCAAAAAAGCGCGCAAGAGTCGTTCAAAAATCAAGATCATGCTCATAGTTTTTTCGATATTCGTGGAGTTCTTCATCATGAATATATTCTAGAAGATGAATCTGTTAATGCAAAATTCTATGTTGAAGTCTTAAAATGTCTACGTGAACGTGTGCGACAATCCGAATTGTGGATGGAGAATGCATGGATTCTGCATCAGGACAATGCACCTTCGCACACCTTCGTTACGCGCGAGTTTTTGGCCAAAAAAAATATCATTACCATAGACCACCCTCCCTATTCACTTGATCTAGCACCCTGTGACTTTTACTTGTTCCCTAAAGTAAAAAATATCATGCGGGATGAACATTTGTGGCTGTTGATATCATAAAACGAGAAACGACGAAGCTCCTAAAGAAATTAAGAAAGACATGCAGCACTGCTTTCAGAAATGGGAGAAGCGTTGGATCAAGTGTATTCTGTCAAAAGGAAAGTACTTTCAAGGATGACCACATTCCCATTACAGAATAATTTAATTTGGATTTTTGGTAAACCGAGTGAACGAACTTTTTGTACAAACTCGTATTCCATTGTAAATATAAAAGATTCTTGAATAGAAAGATAAAGGTATGTATCACTTTTTCTCGTTACAAAAAATTTTATATTATATGTTGCAAGAAAATATATATTCTTTTTGCAATTGGCGCAATTTAAAGATTTTATTTCATTTTTTTTTAATACATACATACTGAGGGGTAATTTATAATAAAAAATTAACAATATTACCATTTAAATTATATTATTTATGTAACGGTTTTTTTTTTAGTTTATGTAACAATTTTGTATGAGTTTATGGGAGATGCACTTGGCGTTTTTTTTTAAAGTAACTTTGTTTAAACTGATCAGTGTGAACTTTTAGAATATAATAGTAAGAATTACTGGAATAACATTAGTGCAGATATTTAATAGTTTATACTACTCTCTTTAATAGTTTATACTACTAATCATTGAATAGTTCCAACCAATAATGTGTGAAAATGTGTAAAATTTAAACTAATAGTACTGTACAATGTATACAATATTTTTGAATATTTCTTGCAGCATTCAATAATGTATATTCTTCGGTAGGTACTGTTGTTCATTATTGCTGAATAATATTGTTAAGCCATGGCAATACTTAGAATTTTTTATATTATTCCTCACAATTTTTATGAAAAATTTAAGATTTTCTTAAATTTTGTACAAATTGAAACATTGTTCAGAAAAAGTTAGATCAAAATTGAAATTCCCAGAAAGTTTCATATCTTCAAATACTGAATTATTTACAGAATCTTCATCCAATTATTTTTGACAACGGAGAAATTTTGCATGTTTTTTTTCAAAATAATCAAAATTATTTCTGTTATATGTCATGCTTCATTTGTACATTACAATTATATTTAACATTAAATATTTTTTTTTCTATACGTGTTCCATCTTTTTCACAACATCTTTGATCGGCTATGTTACAAATATTCATTTAGGATAGGTGATTCTTGAAAGAGCAGTTCCTGTACGATTGTAGAAAGATCAAGTATACTAAGTGGAGATACATATTCGAATGAATGATCGCATTGCAGCATCATAAAATTAGTTCTCGTATATTCATGAAGGAAACTTTTTTTATTATAATTTTGTCGCGTATCCTCTGAAATGTGATGCTAATCAAAAATACTTATTTTTACAGTAAAACTTCAGTTAAATTTCAGTAAAATTTCAACGAAATTTTTTCCACCACTATTACACTGTTACACTACTTGTGAACTACTATTACACTATTTTCACTAGTAATGATACTATTAGTGACACTAATAGTTTTTTTTCCATAAGGACCAAGCTCTTCAAAAGCAAAAGATGTCCAAAATCAGTATATAACATCTATAATAGGTCCAAAATTAGATATGTTTTGGATATTTTATGGTAAAAGTTATTGCAAATGTACATCCTATCGACATCCATAAGACGTCTGACGGACATAATTTGGATTTCTTATGGACATCCCAATGTTCAGAATCAAAAGTCTAGTGGATGTACAATGGACATCCATGTGCTATTTGGGTATATGATACTGACAATTCTCTGATTTATTTTTTTTATAAACAAAGATAAAACAAAGATTAAGCAACAAGATTGATTTAGTTTCGGAGTTTAGTTAATTCTCTAATAGTATAATGAAACAACTCAACATGAAGTAAATGCGAGATTATTCATGTGATTAACTTTCTTGACTTTGATTTTTGACTTTGCATTTACTATATCGATCCAATAAATATCAAAAATTAATCATGATTAAGAATAAATTTTAAAACTTTAAATACAAAGCGACTTCCCGGTCCGAGTGTTAAGATGTTGAACTACTATCTAATATACATTCAATTAAATTGAATTAATATTTCAGAAATAAATTGAGAGCCGATGAAATTATCGGATTCACACAATCAATCTGAAACAAATAATCCCCCCAAATTCTCCCAAATCTTAAAAATAAGATAATATAAAATAAATTAATAATAAAAATATAGAATAAATTTTACTTACTTTTTAAACCCCACAGTATCCGTTGATTGACAGCGTCTAGGAAATCTCGTAATTCCGTTGCACATGTTGCCGAACCGAGAAGACTAGCTCTCGAAGCGACAGCATAGGCGGGTAATAAATGAATAATATTGTTCTCGGTAGAACTGTGAAATTGTGCAGAAACGCAGAATAACGTGGCGAAATAGCAGATATACGAAATAAATGCGATATAATGCATGTTTTTGAATTCAAAAATTACAATCACTTTTACTTCCCCGTTAATGCAAACTGTGATCTATATCGTTCCCGACCATGAAGTGATCAATTTCAGAAATACAATAGAGTGAAGTGTAAAGAATGTTTTGCTTACGTAAAGAATTTCATTAATGCACAGATCTAGAATTATTTTCTTTGCCGAGATAAAGAAGACACGTTTATCCCGATGAATAATATATTAAAAATGTGTTGTTTAACTTTGTCCTTGCAAACGTTAGTGTAATGTTTTAGAGTTTTATTAGAGAATAGAATTTCCCATTTGATTTGTATAATGCAGATTAATATTAGTCAGTGTGAGATTCGACGACTGGGACAAGACTGGTTTATATAGAGACAAGTTAATGGATTTGTAGTGGAAAACGAAATGTCCTCGACCGACAACTTTTTCTTCACGTCGTGACGGAACCCCATCACGTTACATATACAGCAACATTTGACATCGACATCTTGAACAAATCTAGCAATCTAATAAAAAAACATTTTTTTAATGAAAAACTAATCAGATATTTTATAAATTTTTGTACTATAATTCTGTGATTATGATAGTGATTATAAATAACAAATCGAAGGACTCTTTCTATACAAAACAAATAATAATAAGTAATGGGTAAGTAAGAGTCAACACATTTCTTTGAAATTAACAAAAAAAAAATATATTATAATTAACAGAGATAAAATTACATAACGCAAAAATTAGAATCGAAATTACGAAAATAATTACAAGTTACAAGTTTCGGCTACCGGATCGAGCCCTCTTCAGACATTAACATAACGAAAAAAATCGCAGAATGAAATAAATTATCGCAAATGATCACATATACAGAACATTCATAGTTCGGGTGAATCTTGATGTGTCGGGTGAGTCGAGTTCAACATTATGTCCGTACGATTGAACTATCAATATAGTGATTATCTTATGACATTGTAAGATCCCTTACGGAAAAAAACTATTAGTGTCACTAATATTGTCATTATTACTGAAAATAGTGCAATAGTAATTTCGCAAGTAGTGTAATACTGTAATAGTGGTGGAAAAAATTTCGTTAAAATTTTATTAAAATTTTACTAAAGA